CAGCCACTGCACTCCAGTCTGGGTGACAGAGTGAGATTCCAACTCAAAAAAAAAATAGAGTTATGTTAATTGGTATTTTTATTTATTGCCTTTATGCTGAGGTGAAACATAAATCAATAAGTACCATGTAAAAGAGTTGAGATTATTACAAATGTGTTTTATTTTTCAATCACATAGTATATGGGAATACTATGTGATTGAAAAATAAAACACATTTGTATTTATCTCAACTCTATTTTATACAGAATGTCATCATCTCAAAACTTGTTAAAACAGATAAACCAAAAATATACAATGAGCAGAACTGAACAGAAAACAAAATCAATAACATTGTGAATGTCTTCTTATCCTGTATTAATGTTTTATTTTGGTACTCAATACATTCATCACTTTTTTAGGATTGTTATTTCCTACTCTAAATATTTCCTCAACATAATTCTCATTAGTCTAATATATTTCTATATAAATTACATGAAAATAGGTCTACTTTTTTTTCCATTATATCTCGCTCAGGAGGCAGTGTCATCTAAATGACAGGATGACTATGCTTATACCAAAAGGAAATTTATAAAATTCAGATATCTGAATTTTCAGATTTTCAGTATTTTTGATGATCAATGATTCCTATTCATTTAATTTATTTTACTTCAGATAAGTGCCTATATACTGGACCTTTGAAGACAACAAATGTATCATGACAAGAAAAAGTCAATAATCTTTATAGCAGATTTAATTTTCTCTCCAGTCAAAATGTTACTTCTAAGGAGGACAACTTTAGATTGTCCTATTCAAAAAATTCAGGATGTTATTGTTCTTTTGATTGTAATCTTCAACAGTAAGAAACTATATAAAAGATACTTCTTTCTAGGATAACTGCTTCCATGATACATTATTTCTAGATTTTTAGGCACTGAATCACAAATACACTTCTACAAATTTTGATAGAGTTGTAGTTTGGCTTAAACAAAAATAAAAATTACAAGAATTCTTATAGGAAGCCATGAACTATACTGTGTGAGTACTCAGGCCAAATCCTATGTGAGAAAGAAGTCACAAAACTTGATCTGCTTTCTGCGCACATGAGTTCAGGATATTTGCTACAATATCCTTCAAATTGATTTAGCCAATAATCTGAAAATGCCATAAAGCTGTACAGTGATAAAGAAACAAGGCTCCGGTACTAAACTTCCTATGTTTTTGAGCAAGTTACTTAACCTCTCTGTTCCTTAATTTCCTCATATGTAAAAAAGCAACAATTATAGTACCTGCTACCAAGAGTTGCCATGGAAATCAATTGAGTTGATATATGTATTTGAAATAAGTGACAGAGAAAATATTCAATAAATTCCAATTATAAGTAGTAGTAGCATTAAGTTTGAATCACTATTTATAAGAAACACATCAATTTATGTTTTATATATATATATATATCTTTTAAGTGGTATTCTCACTCTGTCATACAGGCTGGAGGGCAGTGGCATGTTCACAGCCACCGCCGCCTCAACCTGCTGGGCTTAGGCGATCCTTCTGCCTCAGTCTTCCAAATAGCTGGAACCACAAGCACACGCCATCACGCTCAGCTAATTTTTTGATTTATTGTAGAGACGAGGTCTTGCCAAGTTGCCAAGGCGGATCTTGCACCCCTGGGTTCAGGCAATTCTCTTACCTCGGCCACCCAAAGTGCTGGCATTACAGGCTTGAGCCACCATGCTAAGCCCATACTTTTTTTAATTTAGAGAACTAGATCCCTAAAATTTTCTACACATAATCTTAAATCCTAATCTCAGATATATTGTTCATACAACAATAGCAAAATGCAAGATGTTTGAGGTGAGTAAAACAAATAAGTCATTAAAAAAACTCAGAAGAATCTTGAAAAGTAAAATCATACAAGAACAGGCAGATAACTGAAAACAAGAGAGTAGGTGACAGATATTTGGAAACGGGGGTGCTGAGCATGCTGACCTGACATTTACTGAGCCTCCCTAGGTATCACATACAGAGAGGTGACACAGTTGGCAGGTGGTGCTACTTGCCCAGAAAGAGGAACAGCTTCCATCATGAGGAAGCAAATAAAGGGAGAGGGATATTATTCAGGAAAAAATATCAACCCATGTTAGATCAGAGGTTAGGGTTAAAAAATTCCAGGAGCTGAGAACTTGGAAGAGAACATAGAATCAAAGGTTAGAAAAGACATAGACTGCCTTGATTCTTTCTAAAATCCAAGCATTTCACAAAGTTTGTTTCTCACCTCAGGGATGTGATTCATGGTTATGCAAGTTTCCTGGAAAATATCAAGGGAAAGGTATAGATTGGGCTGCAGGATAGACATACAACAAATACCTCTTGAATAAATAAAATACATAGACTAAAGCAATAAAATATGACTGGATTCATGACCTCTGGGTCTCAGTAATTGGAGTCTGGACCCTGGATCTGTCATTTTTAGATGTACTTGGCAAGTGCCTTTATCTCTCTGAACTCCAGTGTCCTCATCTGTAAAATCAGGATAATAGTATTACCTACATCATTGGGTTGTTGTGAGGTTTAAACTGGTAACATACAGAAAAGTGCTTAAAAGAGTCCATGAGCTTCAGTGACATTGATTACATGGGTTAACTATTATGATGACATGGGGCAAGACATCAATTTTCAGTCAGCAAAGTTCGAATAATTCCTTACATAAGGAGGAAAAAATAGAGGACTTAATATTAATGCATTTGATATGTAATTGTTTTTATAGAATCTACTTAAATTACTTAAGCACAGAAATACAACAATAAATTTAGACATTTTAAGAAAAATAATTTGCGTATGCAGGATAATTTTGGATTATATGAACTGGAATACTGAAAAACATTGGTCCAGTTTTTGGGATATGATATTGATAAACACCTGATGTGCTAGAAATGGAAAGGAAGACAATGTGAGAAATACTTAAAGGATCTGAGATACTTCTATATGGGTTTGGGCTTAATATAAAGAGAAGATTGAGGTAAATTTCTTCTAAAGTTGTAAGCTAAGAATAGAAAAGACGAATATGCCTTTACTACCTTTGAGAGAATCAAAAGGGAAATTTCTTTATCAGAGAGATTACTCAGATGTTGATAGATTAAATTCAAATCAAAGAAGAAATGTCCCACAAGCATGTAAAACTAGATAACCTAATTTTGCCATTAAAATATCAAATTTATAGGTAGAGGTGTCCAATTTTCTCATGGATTATGGTGTGAAGCTCTGGGAAGAGATACAATCTCTGAGGAAGAGTATATCTAAAGTGAAAAGCAAAGCATAGAGATGCACTAGTTGTTAGATACAAAAAAATGAACCCTACCATTAACACTGAAGATGATTCATGATGTGTAGGAAACAGCATGACAGTGTGAAGAGTGTACTGATTTGGGGTGAGATATTTCTGAGTTGAAATTTCAGTTTCATTGCTTACTATGCATTTTCTTGGGAAAGCGAACTTCATTTCTCCCAGTTTCAACTTCTTCATCTTTGAATTGGTAATAATATTACATAGTCCCAAGGATATTCCACCAGCATACAGTAGAGGATCAATGTATGTCCTTTTCAGCCAGAGACACTGTTGACTGTCAACCTAATAGATACTGTCCTTTTCTTCCATCTTAACAGAGCCATTCTGTGCTAACCAGAGTCATCCCATTCCCCTAGCCAGCGAGTAGTTTAAATGTGGGCATGTGAACAATTCTGGTAAGTGAAATTTAAAAAAAGGCCTTCTGCTGGGCTCCTGAAAAAGGCTTCCTGGACCTTAAAAACTGACCACAAAAATGAAGTGTTTTTTTTTTTCTTCTTTGATACTTTCAGCAATTGCATCTGTAAAGAAAGTTGCTAGATGAGAATGGCAAGAAGAAATGTAGAAAAAAGGCCGGGCACATTGGCTCACGCCTATAATCCCAGCACTTTGGCAGGCCCAGGTGAGAGGATTGTCTGAGCTCACTGGTTCGAGACCAACTGGGGCAATTGGGTGAGATCTTATCTCTACAATAAATCATAAAAAATTAGCTGGGTGTGGTGGTGCGTGCCTATAGTTCCAGCTACTTGGAAGGCTGAGGAAGAAGAATCCCCTGAACCCAGAGTTGAGGCTGCAGTGGCCATGAGTATGTCACTGCACTCCAACCTGGGCAACAGAGTGAGACTCAAAAAAAGAAATGTAGAGAAAAATCTGAGTCTTTTAATAAGTCATTAAATCATAAGTCACTGAACTAACCTAACCCTAGAACTGCACTTTTATTGGACTATTCTGTTATATGAGATTAAAAAAAAATTCTTGCAGTTTTTAGGCACTCTGAATTGAGATTTTCTTTTTCTATTGTAGAAATCCATAGTCACTGATACCTCTTTTGAGTGTTCACTGTTTCCAACTACCACTTTTTCACCCTTTCTGTCAGTTTGTTTTTCAAAACATTCTTTCCACGCTCCTTTCTTTTCTAATATC